TTTTTTTAAAAATTTAAATTAAAATTAACCTTAAAATTTGATGTTTCTAAATTCCATTTTCAAGCATTACTTTGAGAATAAACTTCAAAAAAAGAATGTTTTACTTTATTTATAAGCCAAATAGTATTTTTATATTTAAGTTGTGAGGTAACCAGAATTCAGAATCTTATTAACTGTCTATTGATCACTGTTTTTTAATAATTACTAAAGAACTCTGATTGCAAATCCAACTGTTAGCTTTTTGATATACACACATGCACACACACACACGCACACACACACAAAATAATATTGACACACACACACAATACATATTTATTAATATTAAAATTATTTTTGTCTATGTTACCACATTGACACAGACATTTATGTTTGAAACAAAACTTAAATTAAAATTTACCTAAAAATCTTGATTTGTTCATCTGTATGTATGATAGTGCATGCATATACAGTTGTTAATATCTAGTTATTTGATATATATATATATATATATATATATATATATATATATCAACTGTCTGACGATTGCAAAAAAAAAAGCATGAAGTCCCCAGTCACAAACTCACATCAATCCAACCAAATAGATATTATAACTGTATATGCATGCACTATAATGCATACATGATATATATATATATATATATATATATATATATATATATATATATATATATATATATATTCCTTACTGTTTCATGCCTGTAGATACCATCAGGGGCATAAATTGACTATTGTAATAATCCATTATTATTTAGAACCTACTGGTAAAATAGTGATGTAGTCCATTTACCAATGAGAAACATAAATTAGCAAAAATGAATTTATTGAAAAGAACCTCCAATATCTGTACTCATTAAGAAAATATGAAGGAGTAATTCCAGTTTCATCATCCTGTTTTGTGGTAAAGAACTTTTTTCTCTTGTTAATCATATTATTTTGAAAACTATATAGTTGCAATGGTGAGATGTCTAAGGTGCCAAAACCAAAATATTTACATTATTATTTCGCTCCCTGGGGTAAACTGTTCTAGTTCCACATGCCATGTCTAGAGGGGGGAATTAACAGCAGATAACTGATAACACTTATCTCCTGTTGTTCCTCTGCAAGTTCTCCACTGCCTTAACCAGGTACTGAACTCACAACTCTTTGAGTCCTGACACTGGATCTAAATAACGCCTTTATCCACTGTGCCATGTGTCCTTAAGGATTGACATTGCATTTTTGAAGAACAAAGTCAACTAGAAAGCAAGAAGCAAAAAGTGTGAGAGAAGGAACTATTAGCATAGAACTTAGTTACATTTAGCCACTTCGACCACAAAATGATGAGAATTTTTGAAGATTGCAGTTGATAGGAAAGCTGGGAGAAGAAATTATTAGCATAGAAATTATGGTTACAACTACCAATTTTAACTGTTATTATAACACCTAGCTGCCAAACTAGTACTTAATGAAGTCAAGGTACCAAAGAAGAAAGCTCATCAGAACAGTAAACATGAAAATATTTATAGAAAGTTGAAAGAGTTGTGGGCCACCAGCAACCTCTTCTTGTCACTGTCAAATGAAGAAAAATGGCATGTTTTGGAAATGTTACAAGCACAGAGTATGAAAGACCATCATGCAAGGCACCAATGAAGTTGAACATAGGAGAGGGAGAGGATGCAAATGCAAAAACTTGTTGGACAATGTCAAACAATGAACAAGTATGACTATACCAGAATTGCTGGTGGCTGCTTTGAGAAAAGAAAATAAGGACATAATGAAGATGTTGACGTTCCACACTACTTCAAATAAAAAGTTAGGAAGGAAACTCCCATCCATACTGCAAAGAGAGATAACAGCTACTGGACTTGAGAAGAGAAAATAATGACATAATCAAGATGCTGATGTGCCGCACAACTTTAAAAAAAGGTTAGGGAGGAAACTCTTTTCAATACTGGAAAGAGCGATAACAGCTACTGGACTTGAGAAGAGAAAATAATGACATAATCAAGATGTTGACATTCCACATTATTTCAAACAAATGGTAAAGAAAAAAATCCCTCATCAATACTTGAAAGCTACTTGACTTAAGAAACCTATTTTCCTGAAAAATTGTTTTAAGTGAATGATTTTATTTCACCTAACAGCAGTTCCGTCTGCTTAGTCGATCACTGCAAAATAAGGAAACAGCTAATATTACCTTTAATAATTCAAAATAGTTGTCACCGTACCAGCATCCCAAAACAACAGGTTCCATGTCTCATCACACTATACCACTTTTTTTTTTACTTTTCTACAGTCCAGTTAATGATGTCACAAACCCAGGTGAGGTGCTGTGTACTGGTTTCATGATAATAACAGGACCACCCTGATGGATCTTCTGTTCCAATATCCCATGGAAGCTAAAGAACACTGAACTAGCCTGCTGGATAGACATCTATCACTACCTGCATTGAATGTGGATATGACTTGAGGCAGTGTTGCTTGTCTGTTGCCACAGAGAATTATAGCCAGATACCACTGGTCACAATTATTAAAATCTGTAGTCAGACACTATGCTATCCATGGTGGGCATTAATGCCTTCCATCAAGTATTCCCAGTACACATTTGTCATTTGTAATAATCACTGTCATAATATTCACTATATTATTGTAATAATCACTTCTGCAATTATTTTATTTGATAATCATTGTTGAAATAATCACTTGTAATAATCATTTTCCACAATCACTCCTATAGTTATCACTGTTATAATAATTGTGTGTAATAATCACTTGTATTATTCACATTATTTACACGATGTTGAAAGATCCAAAACTCCCTGATGAACCAAGTCAATTTACATCACTGACAACTCCCTCCGGCACCTACTTAAGAGTTTATATTTGAATTAACATCATTCATACTGTTGTCCTGTGATTATTAAAAGTTGTTATTATTCTATTTACATCATTCAGGTTGTTTTCCTCATCTCTATTGCTATATTCACAACATTTTGGCCATTGTACACTTTGGCCTTTTTTGTGACATACATTGAAATTTTGAACCCAACCTTTTATTTAATCCATGGGGGTAGTTTCTTCTAATTCCATGAGCCATGTCTCTTTTGTTTTGGATATCTTAGTTTCCGTTAATTCCCTTTAGTAACACTATTTTCCAATTTTTTGTTCCTCTGCTACATATAGAACACACAACTCTTTCGGTCAAGTCACATTTTGGATCACTCAACCAACACTTTTATCCACTGGATACATGGCCGAGTGGATAAAAAAAATTACTAAAGGGAATTAACTGAAGCTGAAATATGGCCCCCTGTCAAAGGAAAAAAAAAGCATGACACATGGAGTTAGAAGAATCTACCTCTATGGAGTAAATAAAGGGTTCAGTTCAAAATTCCAATGTATATCACTTGGAGAAGGCCGGAGTATATAATGGCCAAAACATTGTGAATATGGCAATAAAGATGAGGACAAAATTCTGAAGATGTAAATAATGTAAATAGTTACAATACATCATCTCAGAAATATACACACAAGTTGTAATAATCACTTGTGTAATTATTACTTATAATAATCACTGTTGTAATGACCACTTTTAATAATCACCCTTATAGTAATCTCTTTTGATAATCACACTTGTAATTATCACTTGTAACACTGTCGTAATAATCATGTATAATAATTACTTTTGTAATAGTCACTCTTGTAATAGTCACTCTTGTAATAGTCACTCTTGTAATAGCTTGTTGTAATAATCACTTATACTTTCAGAAAAACATATTGGTTGGTTTAATATTAAGAAAGAAAGAATTTGATAGAATTCAGTCAGCATACTTCTAATTCTGATTTCCTGACAGCATCTCGACTTTGAACTTCTTCATTCAACATTTGCCGCAGGAACTGGTACAAATCCACTTCTTTCTTTATGCTTGCTGATGGCCCCACCTGCAATGAAACATAAAAAGAAATATTATCAAAGGAATACTGAATGATACGATTATTTTGTTCATAATTTGTTGAATGAACAAAATATATCAACAAAAGCCTGACACAGAAGTCCTAAAGCAGGCTGGCTTTTGGTTTGGTTCAGTTTTTTTTTCACGGCATGTCAACCTCAATAGGTTATTTATGCCGACAAGATTGTTATTGCTGGTAATATTTTTTTTCAAAAATGTATTTCTCATAATATATTTTTCAAGAATGTATTGTTAGTAAAAATTTTTTCTTCAAAAATTTATTGCTGGTATTTTTTTTTTTTTACAAAAACAGATTGCTCTATTAAAGCCTATTTTTACACTTTCATAGTGTTTTGACCCCCGTTTAGGGGTTAACTATTTACTCATAGCTGGGACCCTAACAGGTTCTACCACCCCAGGTCAGGGTTGACATGGCAACACCAACAATTAAGAGGTGATTCCACAGTCCTCAAAGCCTCCTGATTAGAGGCCTTGTTGTTGGATGTAGTTTATTGTCTTACTCAGGATGAACAGGCTGGCTTTCAGAAGGTCCCCACCATCATGCAGAAAGCAGAACAGTGTGGACTATGTTTGTCATGCATGTTTGACTAACAAAGACCTCTGTAAATAATTGCTATATGGAAAAGTCTGTTCTGGCAAAAGAACATTTTATGATCAAAAGAAATGATTTATTACATAAACAGATGCATCCTGCTATAATTATTCCTCCAGGGATCAGATGGATCCATGCCTTTCCAAAAACAATTAATGCAAAATTAACACAAAAAGTCTCAGCCAAAATTTGAACTCTGTTCACTAATTATATTTTCCATATATCAAAATTTTTGTTGGTTAATATCATTGACATCATTTAATCATGATTTTTACAAACAAAAATTTGGTTTACCAAGGGGATCCCTTAGTGGAGTGATGGCATGTATCTACTTAGATTTTCTTGAATCTGGTCCTTTCCAAAATATTTTACCCAAAATAATCAACTTACTTCCAATATATTGATGATGCTCTATTAATATATCCTCGTGATACTGATTTGCCTAACCTAGTAAATAAACTAAACAAAATTGAACATACAATAGAATTTACAAACAAAAAAACAAGAATACAATTCCTTAATTTTCCTAAGTATCATGCTAGATTGACAAGAGTTTAAAGTTTGGTGCCCACCAGAAATTATCCCCAAAAAAACATCTAATAAATTTCTATTCTCATCATAACAACAAAATAAAATTAAAAAATTAAGTATAATCATTGGATTCTACTTAAGACACTCAGAATTTGCAGACCACAGTGAAGAGGAGAAATACATTGAAAACACTTTCAAGCTTCTTCAGTATCCTAATTATTTTATATTCAATGCAAAACAAAAGGCTCATAAAATATTCTAAAATAGAAAAACAGATCTTCCTGACAAACCCAATGAATCAAAAAAAATATATTGTACTACCAACTAACTTTATCACATCAACAATTGAAAAGAATTTATCTAAACTCAATATAAAATATGTACTAATACATCTAAAACAATATTCATATATATATATATATATATATTATATATTTAAAGATCAAATGTAGATCAGATATGGATAGGAATCTGACAAGATGATAAAATAAAGAACAAGGAGGAAATCTATCTTAATCTGTTTCACCTTTACTAATGCTTTGTCAGGGATCAAGAATAGAAATGAAAGAAAAAAGAAACACAGTATTGGAATGTTATGATTTTTGGTAATTCTTATTGGTCAGACATGTGTCACATGTATTAATGCAATAATATATAAATATGTGTAAGGAACATTTGGACATTAAAGTATGTGATAGTGTAAGAGTGTGTATGTAAAGAAATGCTTGTTTGTCTAGGTGTATGTTGGATGGTAATGTCAATTCATGTAAGTGTATAATGTATGTGTGAGGAACATCTACAGATGTCACCCTCATATATGTCAGTGAAATGTAGTGATATGTTGCAATAATTTTGTATTTGGTCTGATTTTTATATTCCTATGTTGGGGAATGTCTGTGGTCAAGGTATAATTGACATAGTGTATGAAACTCCAAGCCATACTGTCATAATAGGATATTATGCATTTGTGTACATATATATATATATATATATATATATATATATATATATATATATATATATATATATATATTCATACAGGTTTCATTAAATAATATAGCAAGTGTTGTCTATTTATTTTATGTAAATTCTTTTCATAACATCTGATAAGCTTAATAACATTATCATTAAACTAAGAAAGAAAATCACAATATTGATCCATATTTTTTAATCAAATCTAAGCTTTCGACTTACATAAGCCATTATCAAAGATATCAATTACAGTACATATATTAAGCAATATACGGACAAGACAGTGATAATAGTCTGTGATTGTTTACATGGATGATTCTTTATATATATATATATATATATATATATATATATAAGCATAGCCACTTTGACATGGTGTCATGGTTAGCCATCTTATCTCACTTAACCAATAACAACTGCGTAATGATTTTGATCCTCACTGGATGCCCCACACATTTAGCCTTGTGCCACATCTAAGCTATGTTTAGAAGATCATTTTGAGCACCTCAACATTGTGTAATGGTTGGGAGGCTTATATTGCGAGATCACTTATAACTGAGTAATGAGTTTGAAACCACTGGGTGCTCCATTCAGCCTCATGCCATTTCTAAACTATGCTAGGTAAATTGTGACATATATACAGGGTTCGATGGAAAATTTGTCCTCTAAAGTATGCAAAAAAAGAAAATAACACTGACATCTCATTTTAAAAGATATATTTACCAAAATTAACAATAATATCTTGATATACTAAAGAATAAATTTTTTCAATAAAATCACCATTGGCTTCAACCAAAGCCTTCAGATGACTTCAGAATCTCCTGCAACTCCTCTAGACAGTCTCCTTCTTTAAGTTGGTGAGTGCTGCCATAATCCTTGCCTTCAGTTTATCTTTGTTGTTACAAGGAGTTTTATTTTTGTCTCTTGCTCAACTGTGCCCAACACATAATAATCAAGGGGGGTTGCAGTCTGAGGAGCTAGGTGGCCAGATGTAGGGGGTGATGTGGGGATAGAAATCATTTGACAGCTATGAATGTCTTCTCCTACTGGTGTGGCTTGGTGCAGAGTCCTGTTGCCAGACAAAGGGTCATCCAGCAGCTACTCTCTTGACACAGGAGAGCATTACCTTCTCAAGGTGACTGATGTAGGCCTCCATGCTCAGCCTGTCGCCCTGTCAGAAGATGAATGGAGGCATAATATCATCATAACTAATGATCACTCTAAACACCTTTGTAATCCACCAATCTGCATTCTCTATCATCAGCCATAGTTGTATACAAGCAATGATACTTTAATAAAAAAAGAGTCATCCAACTGTTTCCGAATCCTCTGCACTGTTCTCAGATTGACACCTAAACACTCTAAAATGTTCGTATTGGAGCTTCCGGAATGAATGCCAAGCAGTACAGCATGCTATTCCCAAATTTCTGGCAGAGTGAATTGAGTCATGGTGCTCTTTTTCTCACAAATGGTGCCCAACTGACCCTACTATATTGTGCAGTCAACAAAATCAAAAACAAGCAAGACACATGTGTAAAATTAAAAATATAAAATGGCAACAATTTACCCACTGCACTCTGTATGAATAATATGTTTTATGAATTATATTATCTGAAAAAATGATCTGCTTGCTTGTGGTATTATTTTTTTTTATTTGTTCTTTTTGTTTCTTTTTTAAATGTTTGGCAGGATGTTTTAGTTTGTTTTCTTTTCTTTTTTTCTTTATTTAAAAAGATGATACCTGCTGGCAAACATTTTTAAATAGCTTTCCTTAATATGGTTTCATCTAATTTGCTGTTTGTGCCAAGGGATAAATACTGTCATATTATGTTGGGAATAATTATTACTATTATTAAACTTGGCAAATGCGTACTCAGCTTATCGAGTAAAAATAAAAATTTCCACATGAACTTTATTGAAGAACAAATTTAATGTTTTTTTCCGCAATCTCATACCATTTTGCAGACAACTTTTTCCATCGTTGCAGAAATTATTATTTTTCTCAACAACTATATGCTCACACTGCCTTTTGTAGTCTTCCAAGGAATTGGCATTTTTAATGCTACCATTGACAGTGTCTACTTAATATCAAATTAATCCCTATTATAGATTTTACATTACAATATTTTGCAAATGCAAATTATCACTAAACTTTATTTTTAAAGTGTCATTGCTTGTATGCAACTATGGCTGATGATAGAGAATGCAGATTGGCCAAGGATTCTTCCCTACCTATTCCTCTTATTTTCTCATGAAAAAAATCAGAAAAACATCTTTGTAGTTAGCAGTTAATAGACCTTCAAAATTTTAAATGCAATGTCAATCACCATCTTCTGTCTTCCTGACTCCTGTTCCTCAATAAATTTTTCTGATTCTCTTTCACTCCCTGTAACCTTTGCATCATAGTGGTATTGTCACCTTGCTTTGGATGAAATGATTAAAAAAAAACAATACATATCTGCAGTACATTCAAAAAGTATCCAACCTTTGTACATAAAAAAATGAATTTTGCACATTTTACAAATTTTATTTAATCACTTTCAAATCACCTTTCTCCCAGTGATTCTACAAATGCTGGTAACACCTCTGGAATGCTTTCTCTGCAATTCTATGGAGCTCCGTCATAGCTTTTCTGATAATTTCCTTTCACAACTCAAATCACTTCTCTTTCAACATGCCTTTCAGATTGGCGAAGAGCCAGAAGTCACATGGTGCTAAGTCAGAAGAATAAGGAGCCTGTCAAACAAGTGGTTGTTATTCTTGACCATAAAAGCTTGGATTATGTTGGTAGAATGAACAGGCAAATTTTGTCAACATTTCTGCATGCACAAATCCTCTTTCAAAATGGAATTCACTGATCCTGTGCTTATTCCCACTTCATGAGTAATTTCCTGGACTGTTACATGGACGTCTTCCATGACTATTTGCTGAACTTTCTTAACTGGTTCCTCATTTTGGCTTGTGGATGGCTTACCTTGCTCTCCACTGAGGTGCAGCCATGTTTGAAATAGTTGTATAACTTGCTGATCTGAGTTTTTTTCCCATGGCACCATCGCCAACTGCCTGATGAATCTTCTGGATGGTTTGAGCTTTAGTATCACCAAGCTTTTGGCAAAACTTGATGCAATATCTCCACTTGATGTATTCAGTCATCTTGCATGAAAATGAAAATCAAGCATCCATACTCTAGCCATAACAGCCATGAACTGACATGACCTACTTTTCACACATGTGCAGAAAAGGTGGTGTTACCTTCCACTCAAGGAATTTTGTCCATGTGACATTAGTTTTGACAGGAAAAATAAAATCAGATACTTTTTGAATGCACTTCATATATGATAAAACATTATTAACACATTTATATAAAACCTGTAGCATTTATATTATAAAACATTTATATAAAGTATTCACATTATATATTAGCCTTCTATGAGGTTTGTCCAGAAATCAGACAGTGATTTGATATTAATAAAATAAATAGCCTACCTAGGGAAATGGCACTCTAGATGCTTCAAAATGCTCCTGTTGGAACACCTGTCTCATCAGTCATGCATTGAAAGATACATGATCACCTAAGCATGTGTCAGTTATCAGTTATCTCCTGTTAATTTCCCTCTGAAAGTTCTCCACTACCTGAGCCAGGTATTGAACTCACACTCTTTGGGTCCTGTCAATGGATCTAACTAATGCCTTTATCCATTGTGCCATGTGTCCTTGAGTACAAAATGGCCAAAATATTGTAATAAATATGGCGACAAAGATGAGGACAATAGTCTGAATAATGTAAATAAAGTAGCTTTCCAAGTAGAAAGTTTAAAGTCCTTACTTGAAATGATGTGTGTAATTCTGGATTCCATCCAATATTTGGTGCATTCTTGTCAGTCCATGTAGACAATTTGAGAAAATCACGTGTTGAATAAGTTATACACTTATCATCAGTGTGATACACGATGCTGATCTTATTTTCGGTAAATGTTCGGATGAAAATGTCATCATTGGCAACTTTGTTGGGGTTTCGGTGGAACTTTTCAATGATTTTCTGCAATTAGATACAAAATGAAATCCTTATTTTTCTTATTATTTTTATATGAAATATTAAATATTAACGTTGTTATAAGATGAAACATAGAACTTGTATATACAATCCATTGCTAAGGATGCAAATAAAACTACATACATAGTTACATACTACTTACATAGTAGCAAATCACCCGCATTCCCTCCATATTCCATCAGTGAGAAGCAAGTTCCACTAGAGCAGCTCCTTCCCACGAACTGCTGCTCTGTGGAACCAACTCCTAAGAGGATGTTTCCTCAATCACTACAATCTTAAACTGTTCAAGGCAAGGGTTAACTGTTATCTTCCACTCCTATGCACACAAATGGCCTCCTAACATAACCCTCTAACTCGAGTGGCTCCCAGGCCTTGTAAATTTAGCTATATGATGATGTGATATGTTATACAGTGCAGTAGTTTAAGTGTGATTTTCAATAAATAATGTAAATTTGAATCATTTTGTCTCATAATTTGTCCCAGTAGTATTATGGTGTTATATACACTTATCTATTTTTTGTTTTTACTAGTTGTGATCTAACAAATCTTATTCATTGAGTAGCTTTTTTGTAATATTTTATAAGTTTTTTACACGATTGTTACTTATTGAATACGCAATTAGTTGGAGATTCATCTCCAGCTAAATTGGTCAAACTCTCTGCCTTTGGGCAGAGAGGAACCCAGGCAAGGCTGTGCCGAAGGGCAGAGCCCCATCTGGGGTGGTAGACAGCTACCCGACCCCATTTTTTACAGGGTCTATGGGGAATTTTTGCCCGAGCTTATGGGCTCGGTTTTACCTCACATTAAATAATGGCCTTGTGCCACATCCTACCTCGCAGGGGTGTGAGGTAAATAATCTTACTGAATACAGTAAAAAAATTGCATATTTTGATTGTGGTGATTCATAATTAGAATTCTCGTTAGAATATATTTTCAATTCAATGTATTTAATAAAAAGGATATTAACTTTATTTTGATCTATTTTTGAAATAATAAAATTTTGAAGTCAGTTTGTAAACAAAAACCTGCAGAAATTTTTTCAGATGATATTTAAAACTAAATGCTCAAAAATTGGTGAAAGCTGTGAATCTAATTTTTGGTGTCCATATTTATCACATCAAACCCTAGCTTTTAGATGGAGTGCAATATTGATTTTCTAAACATAGAGAAAAATCAACATGCACTACCCTTATGTTCCAACCACCCCAAATATTTGAAACTCAAATGTAGTATCTCTTTGATTTATTTTTCTAAGCATTTCACCCCAAGCAAGAAAAGGTTAGTGAAGAGAAAGAAGAATAAAAGAACAAGATTCAGAGAGACAAAAGAGGTCAATTCATGTTGCATTTAAATTTTTGAAAAATATAGGAAAGGAAGAAACTGGAAGCAAATTCCACAAGCAAGAAAAGAAACTATTAGAATAGAATATATGGTTATGTCTAGCTATTTCATCAGTAAAATAATGAGACCTAGTTGCTAATCTACACTTAAATTCATGAGGTTTAAAAAACAAAGAGGAAAACTCATCAGAACAATTGACTAATAAATATTTATAGAAAAGGCAGAGGGAAACTATATTATGGCAATGGAAAAGTGACTGAAGCCAAAATGACAGGTCAGGACTGATAACTTTACAGACACTTCTTCGGACTTTGTCACAAAGATAGTTTCATTTTGGAGGCTATTTCTTGCCCCAGTTAACAACAGAGTGAAGGTTATTTTCATGATCAGCAGCCAGTTTTACTTTATCAACCCAATTGAACTTATTATTAAAACAGGGGTAAATAGTTGTTTTATCAGCATTGATACTCAGTTGGGAACTGAGGATATCAAGGAGATCATTGGTGAAGTTAAGAAACAAAATCTGAGTATAGAGGCCTGGGGGAGACCCACATTAATGTGGTCATTCAACAAGGCTTTCATTACATGATTTGTTGAGAAAGATTGGATCAAATCAAAAATTTGTCCAGAGACACCATAGCTATAAGCTCAGCATGCCAAACCCTGTTAAACACCTTTAAAATATCTAAAACCACAACCAGGGTATCAACGTTCTTCTTTAAAGCTTGATAGACTCTTTCAGTAATAACCATTAACACTTCAGTAGTTAATTTAGAGAAGTGAAAGCCATCTTATTTGTCAGAAAGCAAACCATAGGAAATGTGATGCTTAACCAATCTGATGTTGATTAGAGCCTCTAGTTCTTTACCAAAATGGGGTAGAAAAATAATAGATTAATAATTTGAAGGATCAGTTTTCTAGAGTTCTTAAAAACATCATCTACATAAGAGTATTTCCTACAAACTGGAAAGCAAGAAAGAGCATGGCATTTATTGTAGTGTTTAAAGAGAAAAAGGAGTCAAGTTCAGGTGCACATTTATTTAGGACAATTTCAAAGATAACATCAAATTCACGTCTTTTTGGGGATCTAGGGTGGAGATAATGGTGGAAACTATGGACAGAGAAAATATGTAGAGATTCACAGGTCTAGGTGGAAAATCAAGCAAAGATACTCTTGATGAGTTGAGAATAGAATGGGAAGAGAACTTATGAGCATAGCATTCTGCTTTATCAGTATGACAACAGATGATTGAAAAGAGAAGGAATTGATGACTTACTCTTACAGAGCCACCAATAATCACAACAACTTGTGAAAGGCTTAACAGTGTCTCACTTGATTAGAAAACAGTGACTTACTCATTGTACTCTATAATTTTATAAGGTGAACCCACAGAAGTAACTGTTATGTTCTGATCTGTCATGTTGGCATAGCCAAAAGAAGTAATACCTGTGGGCTATAGTGGTTTTAATTTCTTTTTATGGTAGCAGCTGCTCAGTACATCATAATAATAATACAGGCAACAAGACAAAAGAAATACACAAAAAGGGTTGATGATAATTGACTTCATTGAATAAAATCAAACCTCTTCAGCTAGTTACAGATTCCTGTGACTCTCTCCATCCAATTTTATTATTCTATCATATTTGACAGTGATTACAGCTTATGTTATCACAATCTGCTTGATATAGGTCTTGGCTTGTCATCCCCTGCCAGTACTTCCATGTGTAGACTCCCACAAAAGAACTTCAGTAACAATTTTGTCTTCAGTTCTCTAGCAATGCTCTGTAAATCTGATTCTACACTGTTTGATGATATCTGATACTGGACAAAGGTTCTCATAGAATTGCTCATTGGCCAGACGATCTCTCCAAGTGACATTCAAAGCTACTCTTAGCATGTGGGTGTAGGCTCTATCCAATCTTCTTTCTTGCTTTGAGTTAAGTGGTTATGCTGGGCTGCCATACCATATAACAGATGGGACAATTGCTTAAAAGAGGCTTCTTTTTGCAGGCAGACAGACAGACAGCCCAACCGACCGACCTACGTACCTACCTACCTACTTCCCCTCTCCTTCCCTCAACTGAATTAGAAGTTGAGTATGGTCTGGGAAATTGTCTGGGCCAATTGGTGAGTGGTTTTTATAACAGACTGTCCTGGGTATGACGATAAACTATATTTGCGTCCAGGGTAAGATGATAAACTACGTCCAACAGCAAGGGCTCTGATCATGAGGCTTTGAGGAGCATGGAACCACCTCTTAATTGCTGGTGTTCCCAGGTCCACCCTGACCCGCGGTGGTAGCACCTGTTAGAGTCCCAGCTATAGGCAAATAGTTAACCCCAAAGCTGAGGTAAAAAGCATTATGAAAGCATAAAACTAGGTTTTAATACCAGAAATACTTTGTAAAAAACTTATTACCAGGAATAAATTTTTGAAGAAAAACTATTACAAGCAATACTTTTTTGAAAAAAAAAATATTACCAGCAATACATTTTTTTAAATTATATTACCAGCTATACATTTTTTAGGAAAAAATATTACCAGAAATAGATTTTTGAGAAAACAAAAATATTACCAGGAAAAAAAAGTTGTCGGCATCAAATGACCCATTTAGGTTGATATGTCATAAAACAAACCAAACCAAACCAAACCAAACCAAATAACAGACTGGGACATTCCATTCTGCTACTTGGGCAAACCTATTCTCTAGGTTCTGATTGTCTGCTGATTTTGGTGTGGATTTTGTGCTCAATAAATAGCCATCACTACGCCATGAATGCTGGGCTACGTATTCAGTTATGTGCTTATTTATTTTTGTCTGCTAACTGAACACTAGTTGGAAACTTCCCTGTGAGGAATTTCTAAGTCTTCACTTTTCCTGTTGTCTGGAAGTCCAAACCTCTACACTAGTGAAAGACTTATGGCTATATCACGTTGAAACACAGGTTCTTGTATTTTCACTGATGTTAAGCATGTAAGTGTCTCTCTGGTAATGACTATAGAGATACTTACATGCACTAAGAATCCTAGCAAAAAAATAATGTAGAGATTCCCATGGATATGCCATCCAATTCTATTCTTCATCATATTCAGCAGGTCAGAAGGATTGTAGTTTGTCATCATTTCACTAACAATCTCATTTTTAGCTTTCCAGCAATGCCCTGGGAATCTGACTGTATACTCTTTGGTGATGTTTAATTTTTAAAAAAAATTTTTTAATTTAAATATATGCTTTTAAATAGGTGCTGGTGGAAGTCATCACTGATGTAAATTGACTTGGTTCATCAGGGAGTTTCAGATCTTTCAACATCATACACCTCATTACCAAGCTGACCCAATCAGTGTAAACAGAAAGATCAACACTGAGCGGTGACAATCTTTTATGTTTGAATTCAATCTTCAGGCCATGTGTTTTGGCTCAACTATTTATATATGTTGCTGAGTGGTGCATTATGGTCTATTGTATTAGCAATTTTATTAACAAATGACTCTCTGATTAACAATTCTGAGACATTATCCATGACACCACCCACAAATCTCATCTTACAGCACCTTGTATTCCTATATAGGTACTGACCAGATTCAAAATTGCTTAACCTCAGTGAAAATACAAGAATGAGTGTTTCAACATGATAAAAGGTTG